ATAACTCCATTTCCCAACTTTTCTTTAATGAAATGCGTATCAATCTCAATGTGTTTTGTATGATCATGTTGAAGTCGGTTGTGCGCAATGCTTATAGCTTATTTGTTATTACTAAATAGTCTCATAGGTGCTTCTGCATCTAATTTTAGTTCTTCAAGTACTCTTTTAATCCATAATACCTCACAAACTCTATTTGCCATAACTGCATATTCAGCTTCTATACTACTTTTAGCAACCACACTTTACTTCTTACTTCGCCAAATAACCAGATTTCCCCATAAGAACGTACAATAGCCAGAGGTTGATCATCTATCTGAAATTGAATTTGCCCCGTTTACATATGTGAAAACTTCTATACTCCTTTTATTACTTTTCTTAAACATCAACCCCCTTCTCGATGTATTTTTTAAATACTTGAAAATCTTTTATACAGCTTCCAGATGTTCCTCGTAAGGTGAGTGCATGTACTTACTCACGACACTAATCGCAAATGCAATGTCAGGTCTTGTATGGAATAAATAAATGAGTTTTCCTAAAAGATGTTGATATCTACCTTTATCAACTAGAACTCCATTAAGAGCGTCTCCCAACTTCTGATTAGAATCCATGGGTGTGTCATTTGGTTTGCACCCGCTCATACCTGTCTCATCTAATAAGTTAAGAACATACTTTTTTTATGACACAAAAATTCTCATCTTTGACCTTACAATTTTCATACCCAAAAAGCAGTGTAAAGAACCCAAATCCTTAATTTCAAATTTTGAGGCAAGATGTTTCTTCAACCTACAGATCTTATCATCATTTCAAGTAAGTATTATATCATTCATGTATACAATTAAGACAGTCTTCCTTCTGCCACCAGCATGTTTCACAAATATTATATGATCAAATTGTGCTTGAAATACCCTTCTTTTTTAACAAACCTGGTAAATCTTTCGAACCAAACTCAGGAAGACTGCTTTAATCCATATAATGATTTCTCAGCTTATAGACTTTCCCTCTAAATTTCTCTTCAAAGCCAGACGACGCATCCATGTAGACTTCCTCTTCTAACTCTCCATTGAGGAATGCATTTTTAGCATCTAATTGAAATAGTGGTCATTTTAAATTCATATCTACAGATAATAACACTCGAATAGTATTCAATTTGGCAACATGGGCAAACATCTTCTGATAGTCAACTCCACATGTCTGCATAAATATTTTTCCTACTAACCTTACTTTATAGTGTTCTAAGGATCCATTTGAGTTGAACTTTACAATGAAAACCCACTTGCACCCAACAATCAATTTCCTTTTATGCAAACTAGTCATTTTGCACGTACCATTCTTCTCTAAAACCTCCATTTCTTCAAGGAGAACCTTCTTCCATTTAGGAACTTTTAATGCTTCCTGTATAGACTTAGGTATATCTACATTTGACAATTGTGAAATAAAAGTATGGTACGAAGATGATAGGTTCTTATAAGACACAAAATTTAATAAAAAGTGTTGAGTACATGATCGAGTTCCTTTCCTAAGAACAATATGGAGGTCTAGACGGTCAGAATGCTCTTTTTGAATGAGAAAAAACTTAAATTCTATAGATATAGAGATTGTATATGATTTTTTGAATTTTGATATCAGATCAAATTTTGGCTTTGAAGAGACATAACTGCATCTCTTCTACTTTGAATCGGCTTTCTTTTAGTGTAAGTTTTTCCAAACAACCTCTCATCACTGAAGCATGCATAATCCATTTCCCTAGTGTCTTTTTGTGTTCAGACATTAAGGTGGGCTCCTTGTTTTCCTTATCCAAAATATTAAGATTAAAGGTTACAGGTTCACTATTTGTGTAACCACTAGAATTTTTTTCAATCTTTTTTTTTCAAATACCACGTCTTCATTTCCCCTCTCCCCACTCCTTGAAGAGTGGAGTACTGAAAAAAATTTGGGACTCAAGGAATATAACATTCATTGTGACGAAATATTTTTTTTTGGTAAAGATCAAAACACTTATACCCTTTTTGTACGGGAGAATATTCTAAAAAAATATATTTTATTGCTCGTGGATCTAATTTATCTTTGTTAGATTATGTATATGAATGATTGCAACACATCCAAAAATCCTTAATAGTAAATCTGAGATCAGCCAAGACATTGGAAATGACCTTTTGAAAACTATCAAGGTTAACGGCATCCTGTTGATCAGATATGTAGAAGTAAGAATTGTTTTCCCGCATAAGTATTTAGGTATATTCGTGGTAAACATCAAGGACCTAACTACTTTTATAAGGTGCTTATTTTTTCTTTCTACTATTCCATTTTGTTGAGAAGTGTCATTGCAAGAACTATGATGAACTATTCATTTTTCTAAAAAAAAAAAAGACCCTATGATTTGATTAAAATACTTCTTTCTTTTATCATTTCGAAACATTCGAATTTTTGTTTTAACTTAGGTTTCAATCATACCATAAAAATTTTTGAAAACATCTTCTGTTTCAAATTGTTCTTTGAGTAGATAAACTCAATTTAGACGTGTATGATCATCAATAAATGTTACAAACTATTTTTTTTTCCAGAATTAGTTAATGTCCTAGAAGCTCCCCACACATCACTATGAATAAAAGAAAAAGGTACAGATGATTTACATGGTTGACTAGGAAAGGATGCACCATTTAACTAATTGGTAAATTTTATATTATAATAATGATATATCTTTATTACGAAACAAGTTTGGGAATAGATATTTTAATATTGAAAGCTATGATGACCTAATATATTGTCCCATTATTTCATCAATAGTAGAATTAAAGAATGCTCCAAGACTTGAAGATTTCGGTTGCTGACACAAAGAATTTCTATCATCAAAGTAATAGAGACCTCCAAGTTCCCTAGCATTGTAAATCAATATCCCCGTATCCAGATCCTAAAATTTACAACAGTTTGAAAAAAATTTAGTACAATACTTTAAGTCCCAAGTTATTTTGCTGACAGAAAAAAGATAACAAGAAAGATTTGGAATGTGAAGAACATCGTAAAGAACAAGATTTTTAGAGATAACAATTGACCATTTCTCAGCAATTGCTGAGAGTGAACCATCGGCGATTTAATTTTTTGATTGCCTGCACAAGAACTATAAGAGGAAAACAATTTAAAATAACCAATCATGTGATCCATGACATCTGAATCTATTATCCATGAACAAAGAGGAATAGTTGACACATTAAAGACAACATATTGAAGATAATTACCTTTTTGAGCTAATGAACAAGAGGAAGGTACGGGATTAAAGAATTGTGTGAATTGAAAAAGTCTATACAATTGTTCTAACTGTCCTTACTAAATGAAGGTATTACATCAACAAGTTCTATGTTCCCATTCTACTCAATGGTAGAGTGAAAGGTTTTTGGGTCACGATTTGATTGATTGGGAGTCCTCGGCTTTCAATTAAGAGGTTTCTCAAGTAACTCCTAGCAAGTTTCCCTAGTATGGCGTGGTTTATGGCAATGATCACACTATACATTTTTTCTCCTTTTTTATTTGCCCGTGCCTAGAGTGGAGAATTACTGTGATTGCTTTTGGTCATTACGACTGAAACTTATGGGGCAAATGAGTTTTTTTCCCCTAACATCACTTGGCATCGACCTTCTTCTCGTTACACCTCTGTAAACATTTCTTGGATTGATGGCAGTGGAATTTTGCCAAGAATCCGGCCTCGAACTTCATCAAGACTCTTATTCAATCTTACCAAAAATTTAAAAACATGACCATTCTCCATCCTTTTCAAAGAACGAGCACTATCTATTGCACAAGCCCAATTATCCTTATAGTGGAGATCAAGTTCCTACCATAATGTCTTCATCTCGTTGTAATACTCAGAAACCTCACAATCACCTTGCCTCGTCTGCCAAAACCTTGTTTCAACTCGAAAATCTGTGAAGAATTTTTGAGATTTGATACGTTTCTCGGACAGCATTCCACACATCTTTTAGGGTGGGAAGAAACATATATGTTTTCCCATTAAGCCTCTAGGGAATTGATCAACTAGCCATTACGAGAGAGTTTTCTCACTTCCAATCCGCCATGTTGTATTTCTGGCTCCTTTGTCTCGCCAGTGAAATAGCCAAGTCTGCCCTTGCCATCAACCACCAACTTAATAGATTGTGCCCACTCCAAGTGATCTTTTCCGTTCAGTTTGTGAACGGTTAATTGTATTGAGGAATTTTCAATTCCATAAGGGATTACCAACCTCGATGGTGATAGCATCCTTGCGTTTTTTTACAGGAGATGTGAGTGAAATTGGCGTCGCCTATCCTCACTATTTCAGGCATGGCTGTTTGTGCCATCACAAGAAAAAAACTGAACAAAAAAAAAAAAAGAAGGATAGAAAAAAAGGAGAGAAAAAATATATTCAAGCGAAGCTAGCTAACTTGGCTTTGATACCATGAACACATACAAGAAAAGGAAGATTTTTTCCTCTTTATTTTCTGGTATATTCAATTGGTACAAAAGACTGAATTTATAGAATTTTACATTCCTATTTTATCTTTCTAATTTTATGAGTAAATGATTATACAATTAATAGCAATAACTTCTAAAAAATTATTGCAATAAATCTTAAAAATATGCAGTAATAACTCTTACAAATATGCAGTAATAAATTTTAAAGATATGCAGTAATAATTTTAAAGATTGCAGTCAACTTCTGATTTTTTCAATATATTTCTACAGAGCATAATATGGAGCTGTGCTAATATGTGAAATTGCTAAACACAATGACTTATTTTTTTTTAGTCTTCTCCAACACTACTTTAACCATTAAGGAAATTAATAATTCTTAGAGGTTAAGCTAATAGGACACAGAGCATACACTGTCATTATTTAGCTCCTATTTTTCAATTGTACTGCATATTTTCTGCACTAATTCAGAAGTTTTACCAAACTCAGTCCAATTTGTGGAAAACAGGTAGCAGAAATGATGAAAGAAATATATGTGCCTGTGTGTTTGCTTAACTGACCAGTCACACTCCATCCCATATCCTTTCTTCAGTAAAACTTCTGGAGCAATATAATCTGGTGTACCAACAGTAGAATATGCCTGTTTTAAAACATAAATGGTTAAGGAAGCTTTAACAAAAATACAATGTAGATAAAATCTTTGGAAAAAAAATGTCTATTTAACATGCAACTGAAATAATAGAGTGCATCTATCATATACATGGTTTCCAACAAAATTTCTTGATGACTGGGTAATTTGAATTCTCACTCTCATTAGAGCTCACTAAAAGTGCAAAGAGTGACAGCTAACGCATTTATGAAATATTAAGAAGAAAAAAAACAAAACTATAAATAACAAGATGAAAATTGCTAAGCTTTTTAAAATGTTTATTCTTTTTCTATGATGGGTCTTGATTTCCTCTACTTAATTATTAGTAAAAGGGTCTTTAGCAGAGCATGCAACTGAAAAAAGCTTGCATAGATGAAGTGGATATGCCTAAGTCTAGAAGATTCAGCCCATTGGTGGTCCCAGAATAGGGTTTTGGGCTGCAGCTGCATGGAGTTGAAGCCCCCACAGTATAGCATGGTATACCCAAGACATTTTATTCTTATGGTAACTACAGGTGCGTGTGGATGGGTGCGTGTTATTTTTTATTCAGAAACAAGTTAATCCATCACTTTGTGAGATTGAGTATATTGTTGTTAGTTTTAAAATTAAGCAACATCACTTGTAATCACCATTCTATCTTCATGATAAAATTGCAATTTATCTCCCTAAAAATAGGCCAGACTATCTAAACCACCTACATCTCGTGTTAAATGATATTTTCTTGATTATTTGACTATTTTATATTTTCACATAAAGTATTATTGAAAAAGAAATGGGAAAAGAAATTTAAATTTTTTTTTTTTCATTAACTACTTCAATAACAAATGATAACAAAGTTTTCCATGTGGCAAATCTACTGAGCAATTTTTTAAAAGTGATGTAGAGCTTCCTAAGACTATTTTTCCCTTTCCTCCTCATCCAATCCTATAGTTTTATCAAAGAACTGGCGCCTTTTTCCCATTGAACTCATGCATAACTCAAGATGTCTAGCAATGACAATTTTACTCTCGATCTTTGATGATATACTACCAGTTATCCTAGTTATGGCTAGGTTAGCCATTCTAATAAGATTGGCAACTCATGTTTCTTCTACGAGAAAAGTTCAAATGTATCCTTCATTGTGGATCCCATATTCTGTTCATTTCTCTCCTCTAAAGAGGACTGAGAAAGAGATATGAGGACTTCGAATTCTTTGTTAGAATATAACATAATTAGTGATATGAATGATATAGATTTATATTAAAATTTGTAATCAATTTTTGTATTTATTGAATTTTTATTCATGATATTTAATTAAAATATTTGAATATATATAAGAAAAATTAGAAAAAAATTTTATAAGAACCTAAATACAAATTAGTTCAATAAATATATATATATATTTTTTCTAGTTATGAAAATCGATTCTAATTCTTCTCTATATGGAGATTTTCCTCAACACACTAATCTGTATAGGAATTGGACTTCTACAAGAAGTCGGAGTCCTATACTCCCTCTCAAGCTGGTTTGAATATCTTGAACAAACCAAACTTAGAACTCAATTCTTTGAAAGTCTTTTTAGGTAATGCCTTGGTGAAAATATCCGCAGTTTGATAGCAAAAGTGAATGTGCCAAAAGGATAGTACTCCTGGCTGTATTTTCTCTTTAGCAAAATGTCTATCAATCTCCACATGCTTACTTCAATTATGATGAATTGGGTTCTTATACCCTCTGAAGAGTGAATTCTCAATTCATCCAATACTCTTATAGCCACATTTTTTCGCAATTACCACATGTTAAAACTCTAAACTCAGCCTCAGTACTATTCTATGATACCACTTACTGCTTTTTGCTTCTCCAATTAACTAGCTTTCCCTAGACATATATACAATATCTGGATGTGAATCTTATATCAATTATAGAACCAGCCCATTTTGCATTGGTAAATATTTTAATTTCTTGACTTCTGTTTTTCTTGAAAAATAATCTTTATCTAGCTGTCATTTTTAAATATTTGAAAATCCGAAATATTATCTTCACAAGTTCTTCAGTCAGATTATTCATGAATTGACTTACCACACTAATAACAAAACTGATATTTGGTCCAGTATGTGAGAAGTAAATCAAATTACCCACTAGACATTGGTATCTTTCTTTATCAATTAGAGTACTATCAATTTTACTTCCCACTTTAATTTCGGAATCGATGAGTGTGTCTATAGACTTGCATCAAACAATTCCAGTCTCTTTTAGAAGATCCAACACATTTTTTCTAAAAAATTGAGATTCCTTTTTTTGATCTAACGATTTTCATTCCCAAAAAATATTTGAAATTTCCTATATCTTTAATCTCAAATCCTTTAACTAAGACCTTCTTTAGTCCATGTATCTCCTTTGCATCACTCCCTGTAATTATTACATTATCAACATATACGATAACAACTGTCCTTTTTCCTAAAGGATCAAATTTGACAAATATAGTATGATTTATTGGGCATTGATTATATCAAAATCTCTTGATTGTTTTTAGGAATTTTTCGAACCATACTTTTAGAAATTGTTTGAGTCTATATAAGGAGTTTTGAGTCTGCAGACATTTCTGTTAGTAACTTGACTTTCAAAGTCTCGTGATATCTCCATATAGACTTTTTCCTCCAGTTCTCCATTAAGACTTGACTTTCATTGTAAAAGTACATCAATTGTCAAAATTTACATACTCTATATAGACTACGTTACCCTATAAAAATCTCTAAACCGTTTGTTATGTTATATGGTGATATTAAGGAGACATCTAGAATCAACAATATTACTGACAGTAGATTGTTTATATTATTTGTGAATAATCATACAAGAATCATACTGCCTTGTAAAGCTTGTAAACCGTTTATCGTATGGTACATAGTGATATTTAGAGGCCATCTAAAATCAACAATTTATTGGTACTACATAGTTTATATCCTTCGTAGAACATGGCTACTCTTCATAAAAGAATCAAAAGTTGGTCATATATACAGAAAATTCAACATGGACCAAACTCAATTTCAGACAAAAATACAAGTGTCGAAGACGGACAATGTAAAAGAATACTTTAAAAAAGAGTTGGATATGTATCTTGAAAAAATGGAATTGTTTCTTAGAGTTCATGTGTTGATAATTTTCAACAAAATAAGAAAATCGAAAGGAAGAATAGACGTCTCTTGCAAGTTGTCTGGTGTCTCGTGTTCACAATTCAAGTTCAATAAGTTTCAAGGGAGAGACTGTTCTAACTGCAACATACCTTATCAATAAAATATCTTCTCATATCCTTGAGTTTCAAAAACATACCAAGTTATGCTACATACTTTCCTACCAATCAATTTCTATCTATCTTACTTATCAAAGTCTTTGGTTATTCATTTTGTTTACATACACAACCATCATGGAAATAAACTAGACCTCAATCAATAAAATAAATCTTTATTGGGCATTTATCAAACCAAAAGGGATATAAGTGTTATTCACCAGTCACTGAAAAGTTCTATAACTCCATGAATGTTACCTTTCATGAAAATCAATCATACAACAAAATTGGTATTCAGGGGAAGAAGAATACACAAGAATCCTAATTTTGGGACTCTACTATTGAATATTTTCATCCTCCTCCATTAAACTTATTCATTCTCTAAAATACATAGAACAAGATGAGACACTTGTACTTGAACCTACTCACCCTGAAGAGAATTGAGAGGAAAATATTCTGTTTCTTATTTTCTTTGATGAATGATTCACATATATATACAATTATGCTGCTTCTAACAACTTAATAAATTCTAGAGAAATCCTAACAAAATTATGGGGAGGAAATCCGTTGGTGACACCCTCCATTCACACAAAACAGAATGTACAACTCATATAACAAACAAAAATAACAACTGTAAATAAATGTATTTAATCCTAATTTATTCTTCTAATTATTTACTTTCTACACTCCTCAATTTAGTTTACGTATATGTTGAGTAAACCTACATTGGATATTATGTCGTCAAAAGTTCTCTTGAGAAGAGCTTTCGTTAGAATATCTGCGATCTGTTGATTTGTTGGAATGTGTATCAGAGTTATAGTCTCATCTTCCAATTTTTCTTTAATGAAATGACGGTCGATCTCCACATGTTTGGTTCTATCATAATATACTGGATTTTTGGCCATACTGATTATTGATTGGTTGTCGCACCATATTTTTATAGGTATATTGTTGAGAACTTTTAATTATTCGAGCATTCTCTTTAACCATACACCTTCACAAATACCATGAGCAAGCGCTCTAAATTCAGATTCTGCACTGTTGCGAAATACAACTAACTATTTCTTGGTTCTCCAAGTAAGCAGGTTACCCCAAACATAGGTACAATATCCTGATGTAGATCTCTTGTCATCTGTAGAATCTGCCCAATCCGCATCAGTGTAGATTTCAATACATTTTCTGTCTGTCTTCTGAAAGAATAAACCGTGTCCTGGAATCATCTTGAGATACCTCAGAATCCGAAACACAGCACTCATGTGATCTTTAGTTGGCTAATGTATGAACTGACTTACAGTGCTTACTGCAAAACTAATGTCTGATCTGGTGTGAGCTAAGTAAATAAGTTTCCCAACAAGTCTCTGGTATCTCCCTTTGTCAACCATTTTATCACTGATTCTGGATCCAAGTTTGATAACTGAATCTATGAAGGTGTCAGCAGACTTGCTTCCTAGCATCCCAGTCTCTTATAGGAGATCCAGAATGTACTTTCGTTAAGAAACTAAAATCCCCTTTATGGATCTAGTCACTTCCATACCGAGGAAGTACTTCAGTACCCCAAGATCTTTTATTTCAAATTCTTTGATCAGGAATTCTTTGAGTTTCTGAATCTCCTCAAGGTGATCTCCTGTAAGAATGATATCATCAACGTATACAATCAAAATAGCTTTCTTACCTGAGATGCAGTATTTGACAAACAATATATGATCGGATTGACATTGTTTATATTCTTTATGCTTTACAGCTCTTGTGAATCTGTTAAACTATGCCCTTGTAAATTGTTTTAGGTCACAAAGTGATTTTTTTAATTTATACACTTTTTGAGGATTGTCTGTTAATTCGAATTCTGGTGGTATATACATATACATCTCTTCTTCCAAATTGCCATTAAAGAATGTATTCTTTACAGCTACTTGACACAGTGACCAGTCAAGGTTAGATGCAAGTGAGATGAGTACCCAAGTAGTATTGTGCTTGGCAACTGGTGCAAACGTCTCCTGATAGTCTACACTATATGATTGTGTATAGTCTTTGACTACCAGGCGAGCCTTAAACCGATTCACACTCCCATCTGGATTATATTTGGTTGTAAAAACCCATTTGCATCCTACTTGACGCTTTCCTGCAGGAAGATCAGTTAGTTCTCATGTCTCATTCTTTTCAAGTGCCTTGATCTCATCTAGGACAACTAACTTCCATTCTGGAATTTCCAATGCCTCATGTATTGTTCTGGGTTCTGGTGAGCTGCTGTCTATCCTGCGCACAAAAGCATGATATTCCGAGGATAATTTCTCCAATGAAACATAGTCCTGTATAGGATGTTTGGTGCATGTCCGAGTACCCTTTCTCAAAACAATAAGAATATTATAATCAACGAAATCAAGAGTTGGTACAGAAATTACATTACCCGGATTAGCAGTGGATTCATGGCAGTGCTTGGATGATTCAGGTGTTTTTCCTTTATTTCTTCTCGTATAGACACGTAGCTCAGTAGTTGCAGGTAATGTGCTTTTTGTAACTGGTTTTGCTTCTGATTTCTTTTGTGAGGTTTCGGGTTCAGTCTCCAGGAAATGTTTGTCTAGTGATGGATTTTGTGGGTAGAGAGGAGGTACACTCACATCCCACAACTGATATTCTTGAATGAATGTCTCCCCCTGAATATTAATAGTAGGATAAAACGGTTGGTTCTCAAAAGATGTAACGTTCCTTTTATTATAAAAACGGCGGGTTTCCGGAACTAGACATTTGTATTCTTTTTTATTTGCAGAGTGCCCAACAAAAATACACTTTATTACTCTTGGGTCTAATTTTCCACGAAAATATTTATGAACATGGACATATGTTGAACAATTAAAGACTTTAAATGGCAAAGTGTTTAAGATGTGTGAATCAGAAAAAAGTTTTGAGAGAATAGTATAAGGTGATTGAAACTGTAGAATACAGGAGGGCATCCGATTAATCAAATAGGTAGCTAAAAGAACAGCCTCTCCCCAAAAATATTTTGGTACATAAGTGGTGAACATGAGTGATCTGGCAATCTGAAGAATATGTCTGTTTTTCCTATCGGCTATGCCGTTTTGCTGTGGAGTATGAATACAGGAGCTTTGATGAATAACGGCATGTTCAATACAGTATTTTTCAAGAGTATTTTCAAAATATTCGCAAGTATTGTCGGATTTCAATACTTGGATGGTAGTATGAAATTGGGTTCGAATCATTATATGAAATTTTTTAAACAGGGATCCCACTTCAGATTTTTCCTTCATGAGAAATCCCAAGTGATTCTTGTATGATCATCAATAAAAGATGTAAACCACCTAGTTCCGAAAATGTTGGAAACCCTACAAGGGCCCCAAACATCACTGTGAATTAATACAAATGGTTTAAACAGTTTGTATAGCAGGTTAGGAAATGAACTTCGAGTATGTTTAGAAAATTGGCGAACTTTACACTGTACTGAAACTGAATCTTTTTCTTTAAATAATAATAGGAACATCTTTTTCAAGTACATAAAGTTTGGATGTTCTAGTGTATAGTGCCACAACATAATATCATGGTCATTATTTGCGAAAATAGAAACAGAGCTTTCACATACTTCATTGTGGGCTTGTCTTTTAAAAGGGTAGACTTGAAGCAAATATAATCATGAGCTTATCCTAGCACTGCCAATCGTCCTCCTCGAGTCTAAGTCTTGAAAATTACACATATTAAAAATAAATTTCGCAGCACATTTCAAATCTTCACATAACTTGCTGGCAGACAACAAATTACAATTCAAATTTGGAACATGAAAAACTAAACAGATAGTCAAATTTGGAGACAAATTTACGGAACCCATTCCAGCCACTTTTGAGAGAGAACCATCTACAATTCTGATTGAAAAATTTTCTTCACATTTTCTGTAATTTTGGAACATTGAGACATCTCCACTCATATGATTAGATGCTCCAAAATCTACCACTCACACTTGTCTTTTTTCTGAAAAAAACAGATAAGACAAGAATATTACCTTTATGTGCCATAGAGGCACTAACCGGGTGAGATTTCTTGGACAAAATATATTAGAGGGCTTTCAACTGTTCAGGGATAAATGGGTCTTTTTCCACTACATCAGAAATTACCTCCTCAGCCATCATGTGATTCCCTTGATGCTTGCTGGAGGTCTCTATCTTCGATGTCTTCCACTCACTCGAAGGTGGTTTCCAGTCGCTTGGCTTGCCGTGAAGCTTCCAGCAATGATCCCAAGTGTGCCCTAGCTTTCGACAGTGATCGCACCAAGGCCTTTTCTTCGTTCGACTGTCAATCGCTCGAGTTGTGAGAGCTAAAGAATTTTCAATCGGGTGAGGTTGGTCAATCTCTCCCATCATGACCTTCCGACGACTCTCCTCGCATCGAACCTCAGAAAATGCTTCCCGAAGACTCGACAAAGGCTTAGTGCTCAGAACATGTCCCCGAATCTCATCGAGATTTTTGTTCAACCCTAGCAGGAATTTGAAAACCCACTTTTCTTCCACGAATGCTCTGAAATTTTTTGCGTCCTCGAAGGCATCCATCTGCTGCCAACTTCGACTAAGGATACTGTAATACTGAGTGACACTAAGTTCTCCTTGCCTAAGATCATGGAGAGTTGACTCGATTTCGAATATTGCAGAGGTATTTTCCTTATTGGAGTAGAACTCCAATGCTGCCTTTCCGATTTCGTGGGCAGTTTCATAAAGAAGGAAGTTCTCTCCGATTTCAGGAGTCATTGAGGTGATAAGCCAGGACATGACCATGCTGTCTTCAATCTCCTAGGTTTGTGCATTTGAATCGGACGTTGGAGGAAGCACGAGCTCGCCAATGAGGTGCCCATAACACCCTCTTCCTCGGATGAAAAGGCGGACAGACAATGACCATTGAAGGAAGTTGCTACCGTTGATTTTATGTCCTCTAATACAAGATGATGGTAGCTCACTCACAACTCTGTTTGTTGCTGTGTGGTAATAAGAACCAGAGGAAACTTCTGGTGGAGAGGATGGGAGCTCACCTGATGCCATTTCTGATTACGGCTCAGCAGGGTTTGATTTCTACTTGGATCAGGTATGCTCTGATACCATGAAGAGAATTTGAAAGGAAAATATTCTACTTCTTATTTTCCTTAATGAATGATTCACATATATATACAATTCTGCTGCTTCTAACAATCTAATAAATTCTAGAGAAATCCTAACAAAATTATGGGGAGGAGGAAATCTGTTGATGACACCCTCCATTTACACATAACAGAATGTACAACTCATATAACAAACAAAAATAACAGCTGTAAATAAATGTATTTAATCCTAATTTATTCTTTTAAATATTTATTTTCTACACACTCACTGAAAAACCTAAACTTCGACTTTACACCAAAAGGAACAAGAACCAAAAAGAGAAAGAATCACAACCACCTGATCAAATTCATGAATCCAATCCGGATCCAAATCCAGCATCACTGAATATTTCAAGTAATTTAAAGGTTCATATCTCTCCCTTAATAATCTGTATGATGATAGACCCATTGTTTTAAGAAAACAAAAAAGAGCATGCAATAATACCATGAAAATTTATAATCAAAATTGCTGTTTATTGAATTTTTATATATGATACTTAATTTACAATATCTGAATCTATATAGAGCAAAATAAAGAGAGTTTTAGTAAGAAACTAAATGTAAATTAGTATCATAAAAGGAAAAAATATTCTAATTATGGAAGTTAAATATGATTCTTCTTTATAGGAAAATTTCCTTGAAAAGACTAATCCATATAGGAATTGGACTTCTACATGAAGTCGGATTCCTACATTAAATTCTTAAGAGAATTTGTCACCAAACTCAATTACCTCACTTGTTATTAAAGCTTGAGATCTTAGCTCAAACCTTGGAAGCTTCAAGCCCCAATCATCTTGCCAATTATCCACACTATGTCATTTCCTACCAATTCTTATTTATAGTGGCCTAACCATCAGTATTCATGTGCAGTCTTGTTTGCTCGTGAGTGAGAATATTAGAATACAATATAAATGGCAACCTGGGCCACTTCCTGCGAACTTAAACTATTTAGGGAATTGGTCACCTAATTCGATTATTTTACTCTTTAACTTAAATAGAAAGGATTTGGGAGATACCAGTTTCCTCCTGTTTATCTGCCAATGCTGTAGTTGTTCAAGTGGGCTTTTCCAACGCCTTCCACCACGACTTCCCGGAAGGCTTCCATCAACATCCATTGATTCATTCAAGTTCTCATCGTGCAATGGTTCATTCTCGTTTATAGCAGACAAATTTCTACAATCAAGTGGCTTGCAAAGACCAAAATCAGAAAGCTTCATATGCCCACTTTTATCAAGTAGAAGGTTGTCAGGTTTTATATCTCTGTAGTAAAAGGTATACAGTTGTTTAGGAAGTTGCTGTACAAAATGCTCATGCAACTATAATTAGGAAAACTTACAGAAACACCATTGAGGTTCCACATTAATTTCAAACATATCCTCTCTCTATGTATATATACATACATATGTATATGTTGTATTTATGTATGTACATATGTATAAGAGTGTTGTGCGTGTGTGCTGTGTGTGTTTGTATTCACATTCCACAAAACATCATTCTGCCTAATATAGAGTGGGGTCTCTATAATTGACAAAAGGCCTTTAATTATTTTTATTGGTTTTCCGTTTTAACTATTATGCATTTCAAGAAAGCACGCTGAAACCTCAAAGATATTTTTATCTTCATGTCAAAAAGAGGAATATACCTATGAATGTAGTTATGTTTATGAATAGATTCTATAGCCAAAACACTTTGAGCAATGTAAAATCTAGCCACAGTTTCAGTCAGAGTCTCTTCTCTAATCAGCAAAGTCATCATGTCACCTCCAGGCAGATATTCCATAATTAGGTACAGATAATCAGCGTCTTGGAAGGAATAGTAGAGTTTCACAATGCAATGACTGCCAACTTCTGCTAGCAAATTTCTCTCCGCCCGAACATGTTCAACCTATAGGCTTACACAATCAATGAGCACAAATAAATTCAAATACGAGGTACACGCAGGATAAAGTACAGAAAAAAGATGGTGCCTCCTTAAATAACATGTTTATTCAAGATCATCAAGAGTACTTGTTACAGATTGCTGAAATTTGATGGAAAACATTTTTCTGATACTAAACCGGTAAAAGAATCAGCCAAATTACAACTTCCAAGCATCAATGAGATCATAATGCATCTTAAAATTGAAAATTTTCTTTAGAAAATATATAAATTTATGCATAGAGAATCTGCTACAAATTGTAGTGCATACAGCATTACATAGTCTTGATATCATA